TTTTTTTTTTTTGTACTGAGATGTTTCGCCTTTCATCCAAAGGACTTCCTCAATCCGAGAAGCCACCAAACAAAACTAATTCCCACAAATCTGCACCTCAGCACAAAAACAAAAAAGAAACTGTCCAGATGACCAGTGTTGGATTTTATTCGCTTTTATTATTGAGCACGAATTTTGGTGAATTGAAGGAATCTTATTGCATTTCTATAAAGATTGTTATAAAATAAAGATTAATATTTTGAACGTTTAAAAGTTACAACAACCAAAAGGCACAGAACAGTATTTTTAATCAAGTGAAATGTGAATAGTTGAAATAGCACAAAGCCTGTGGGAAAACAAAACTCAAAAACAGGAAAAGGTTAGTGTGAATGCTGACCTAACACAGTGGTGATCAAAGTACTGTGTCTCCTTTCAGGTTGTATGCAGGGGATGGTACCTTACTTACCCGAGCTGATTCCTCACCTCATCCAGTGCTTGTGTGATAAGAAGGCCTTGGTCCGTTCCATCGCCTGCTGGACCCTCAGTCGCTACGCCCACTGGGTGGTCAGCCAGCCCCCTGATGCTCACCTCAAACCCCTAATGACAGAACTTCTCAAACGCATCCTCGATGGCAATAAGAGAGTGCAGGAGGCGGCATGCAGGTGCAGCCTTTATTTCTCTTTAGGGTCCTTGTTTTCACTTCCTGCTTCTATAACCTCACTTGCATCCTTCTTCCTTCAGCGCATTTGCTACCCTCGAAGAGGAGGCGTGCACAGAGCTGGTGCCGTATCTGAGCTTCATTCTGGACACGCTGGTTTTTGCTTTTGGGAAGTATCAGCACAAGAATTTGCTAATTCTTTATGATGCTATAGGAACCTTAGCAGACTCTGTGGGACACCATCTCAACCAGCCTGTGAGTCCAAAAGCCTCACGACGGCTTGCATTTTTACTCATCCCATGTCTGTTTATATTTTATATCATTAGCTGAACTTTTGTATTTGTTCTTTTAGGAGTACATACAAAAGCTGATGCCTCCTCTGATAGCAAAATGGAATGAGCTGAAAGATGAAGACAAAGACCTGTTTCCTTTGCTCGAATGTTTGTCATCTGTTGCCACGGCGCTGCAGAGTGGCTTCCTCCCGTATTGCGAGCCCGTGTACCAGCGCTGCGTCACCCTGGTCCAGAAAACGCTGGCTCAGGCCATGGTGAGCCCCACTACCTGCTTACACCTTGTGCCGTTTGTACTTCTGTTGTTGTTGTATGTCAACAACCCTGGCTGTGCTTGTATGTTCCAGATGTACAGCCAGCAGCCAGACCAGTACGAAGCACCCGACAAGGACTTCATGATTGTCGCCTTGGATCTTTTAAGTGGCCTGGCCGAGGGGCTCGGTGGCCACGTGGACACACTCGTGGCCCGCAGTAACATCATGACCTTGCTTTTCCAGTGCATGCAGGTGAGCAGAGTTCAGTTCCCCCTGGAGCTTTACATCTTGTAATTATGAATTGAAAGGAAGTGTTTTAATGAAACTTTACCCTTGTATTGCAAATTCTTTGTAAAGTTACTGGGAATTTCATGATATTTAGCCTTTAGATATACTTGATTATCCACAGACTTTATTCTGAAGTTGCCACAAGAAAAGTTGTAGCTCTTAAACTGCTTGTCTAAATGGGGAAAGCAGCGGTGGTGCAGAGGTTAGAGAAGGCAAGCCTGTGATCGGGAGGTTGTGGATTCAAATCCCCTGATTGTTGCATCAAAATATGTATGGGAAAGATGAAGCACCTCCACCCTCATTTGTCCCACTCTGGGCCCTTGCTCCATACTTGTGGGCTGTGGTTGTGTCCAGAAGGGTGTCCGTCAAAAAAAAACAATTGAAATCTTCACGCAGGTTTGTTCACTGTGGCGACCCCCGAGGAAGGGAGCAGCTGAAAGAAGTCACTCCTTCAAATAACAAATAAATGTTTTTTGTGCTTTTAATCTCTTCATTCTCTTTTTTTTTAATGAGTTTTAAAACTCAAATTAAACCAAACTGCCTCAGTGAGCTGCTAAGTGTTACACTTACTGATTCTATGATCGACTCATGGTGTGTGTTTACATTTTTCCGTGCGTCTCTGTGTTTTTTGTTCCAGGATACGATGCCCGAGGTCAGGCAGAGTTCCTTTGCTTTGCTGGGCGACTTGACCAAGGCTTGTTTCCCTCATGTCAAACCATGTATTGGTAATTATATGTTATTATTAATATACTTATTATTAGTGGTTTTCTTAAGATGTGTCCTCACATTATTATAGTTAATGCTAGGCACTTCTTGATGCACTCACATTCGTTTGAGTACATTATAGATGTGAAGGATCTGTACCAGCTTGATTTAACACAATGTGCTTTAAAAGGACAATGCAACAATCTTTGGTACTGACAGCTGGACTTTTCTTCTGTAAATGGACTTTTACAAAATATGTTATGTGCATTTGTATTCATAATCTTTTGTAGGAGCTGGAAGTTTGTCTCTAAACATTTTCCCCTCACTAAAATGCATTTTCATAATTCGTTCTTAAGAAAAGTTTAATAGACCCATGTAATCGATTTTTAATTTTAATTTTAAATAAACCAGCCTCTTTCCATTTCTTTATTTGATTACATTCTGAAGACCTCAGACTTTTAAATAAATTCAGAATGTGTTTTAAAGCAAGAAAATGTATGACGTAAAATACACTTTTAAATACTGCCAGCAGACTGATTCAGGGGTATTCATACTTTGCTGACCTGCCCTTTTTGTAAAATTGTGTTTGTTTATAAAAACAGAAGTCTCATTTTGTAAACACATTCAGACTCATTCTGTTTCTTTTATATTCTTGTCTGTGCCATTTAGCTGAATTTATGCCGATCCTTGGGACGAATCTGAACCCAGAGTTCATCTCTGTGTGCAACAACGCTACTTGGGCCATTGGGGAGATCTGCATGCAGATGGGTGAGTGGCAGTGGGTTTATATTAATTTAATGAGGTGGTCATGTACAATTGAAACCAGAAGTTTACATACACTATTTAAAAAGAGACGTATGCATATTTTTTTCACACTGATGCGAAATCAGAATAAACCTTTCCAGTTTTAGGTCAGTAAGGTTTACCAAAAATTTTTCATTTGCAAAATGCCAGAATAATGAGAGTGAGAATTTTTTTAAGGCGATTTTTATTACTTTCTTCAAAGCCAAAAGAAAAAAAAAAATGCATGTGTCTTTTTTTAAATAGTGTATGTAAACTTCTGGTTTCAACAGTATATCAGAAACTGTGTCTCACTTTATTTATTTTCTGTTAGGAGTGGAGATGCAGCCATACATTGCCATGGTTCTGACCCAGCTGGTTGAGATCATTAATCGACCCAACACACCCAAAACCTTGTTGGAAAACACTGGTATATGATAAACAGAACTTATATAATAATAATAATAATAAACTTGTTTTAAAAGATGAGACCACATTGTATAGATTTAGAAAGTGTAGTTTTAGCGTTTGTGTCTGTGCATGCGTGTATCTGCGTTTGTCTGTTAGCAAAACACCTTATGGACCAATGAATAAAATAAATCATAGGTCATACTTCAACTGATTAAATGTGGAGTCGGCCTGACTCAAGATGGCTGCCACAGCTAATCAACCTTAGCAATTATAAAAATGTCTAACTTTGTCAGTTGTATTGAGCTGGAAATTGGTGTGGTAGTAGCTGAGAGTCACTCCCCACTTGTTCTCTCTTCTTAAAACCTTGCTGTTAGTTTTGTCTGTCAGCAAAATTTTAACACGGAATGATTTCTGTTGTAGCCATCACCATTGGTCGACTGGGATACGTGTGTCCTCAGGAAGTTGCTCCCATGCTGCCGCAGTTTATCCGACCTTGGTAAGAGATCGTCCGTTTCTCATCACAACAGCAGGGTTGTTTAGTACGTGAATGGAATTAAAGCGTAATGAGACGAAAGTACTAAAGCCAGAGTTCTCGGTTACCGTTGAAGTCAGTCATTTGTTTTTACAGTTGAACTTGTTGTGATCATATCGACTGTACGTGATGCTCAATGTCTGCACACTTCAGGTGTACGTCTCTGCGCAACATTCGAGACAACGAGGAGAAAGACTCTGCTTTCCGTGGGATTTGTATAATGATTGGTGTGAATCCTGGAGGTGTGGTTCAGGTGAGACTTGAATGCTGCCAGGTTTCACCTTAAGCCCTTCTATTATTTGAACTCGTCACACCATTTTCTTTGGTTTGATTCAGGACTTCATCTTCTTCTGTGACGCTGTGGCCTCCTGGGTGAATCCTAAGGATGATCTGAGAGACATGTTCTACAAGGTAATATCTGGTTTAAGTTCCCCCAGATAAAAGGATTTTATTTCCTTATGAAATACTAATAATCTTCAGTGACCTCTCCTGCTGCCATATGAGACATTGAGGTGTACAGATCCCACATTTAACAGATTCTGTTCATCTCAGTTTGTGCTGTGAAGCTCAGTTTTAACTAGAGCCTGACTGATACGGAGGTTTTTGCTATCGCCGATAATGATATTGGGAGGAGGTGTCTAATGCCAATAACCGATGTACTGGCTGGGAATCTTTTAGCTTTGTCCACCCCCAGTTTGGTTCGGTAGGCGGCGCGCTCGGTTCTGTTAACGGGGCGGGGCGACCCTTTGTATAATAGGGGAAACACTAACGTATTTACGCCATGTAATTAGCATATCATGATAGAATTTATTTTCCCGGGCAGTTTTATTTTTTTACTGGTATTATCATGAATGATATGATATATGGCCCAGCCCTACTTACTACTTGTACTACTTTTCCTACTTCACAGTTTTTCTCTTATCGCGGGGCTTCAGGGTACAAATCCCCCGCAATAAACGAGGGACTACTGTACCTAACAAAATATGACAGGCAACTTCGGCCCAGTCTAAGGAGACAAAAATGCATCCCATTATAAATTAGTTTTAGTTTAGGTCTGCCTTCCTTCAGCAGCTGTAACTCGTGTCAATTCTTTCGAAGTGCTACTCTGTTTCTCGGTCTTGTTAAAACTAATAAATCTGTGCCTCTTTTGTCTCTTTCCCAAAGATCCTGCACGGTTTCAAAGAGCAGGTCGGGGAGGAAAACTGGCAGCAGTTTTCTGAGCAGTTCCCTCCACTGCTAAAGGAGAGACTGGCAGCATGCTACGGCGTTTAGATCGTCTATTCCCACCCAAGAGGTAAACATATAATTTCTTTAAGTCCCATCATGCACCTGAACTGTTGGGATTAACTTCCTCGTGTCCACTCTTTTTATTTCCTCCCAGGTTAGCCAGCAGGAGGAGGGTGAATGGGAAACTCATCCATCTGTGTATTGCACGGCCCTGATCCGGGGGGAGGGAGAGGGACGCTTTTGGTCGCTTCCCCTGATGGACGGCCCCCACGCCCTATGTGTTTGTCCATAGAGGGAGGGTAGGCGGGTGGGAGGGAGGGACAAGGGGGGACACCTCTAGATTAACTAGGCAGGGACCCGACACAGAAAAACTAACTGGTAGGGACAGATAGAGAGGAGGACTCAGAGGAGAGACACGTGTGGATATAAAGAGAGCTACACAGAGAAGGTTCAGGGAAAGGCAGGGAGGGGGGGGTCACTAACAAAGCAGGGAAAATGAGCTACAGACGGGTCTGTTACTGAGTTAGGATTTTATTAGGATAGCTTCACGACAGACCCAACATACACACACTTGCACATGCAGTTCATGGATCAGACTGTGGGTGGCACTAGACTTCTCGAGACCTGCTACACATACTTAGGGACAGACAGGTGTTTAAAAACTCTTCATGTTCTGGGTAATACCTTTATTTTTTTTCGGGGATTAAGATTCAATATCAGCTACTCCATCTGTTCTCACTGGTTTCTGCTTATCTGTAAGATAATCCCACAATCCTCATGTATGTTTCCTACCTCCGTTTTTACCGGAGCGCTGCTTCTCAGAGCTGTCATCGTATCAGACGTATCGCTGTCACATTTTCTACCTGAATAAACAAAAGAGCAGGAGGCTTTTTTTTTATTTTTTATTATTATTATTTTTAGTTTATTTTTTTCTAGTGGCAAACCGTTTTCCTCCCTGAAGGGACGATTAGGGCTAACACACCTGTTTTCTCACCAGAGTGGGAGGAAATGGCTCAAAGAAAGATCCACATCCTTTTTTGTTTTTGTTTTTTTGTCTTTTGCAGTCCTGCGTGTTTGTGTGCGTGCATGTGCAGTTTGTAAATCCTGATTTTGGCATTCTGTGTTAACGGTGTGTAATATATGTATTGTTTCTGAAATGGTACCAAGCTAAAACTTGACTCCCCGCCGCAATGTCCTTTGACACCTGTTAACTGTGACCAAGTGTGTATGCGTGTGTGTGCACATGTGACTGAGTGTTTGTCCACATTGATATTCATTTGATGCCATATTGATATCTTTAGTAAACCAGTGATGGGCAGTGTCATTGTGATCTTTATAATGTTTTATATTTAGTCATATTTCCCCACCCCCTCTTTTTTTTTTTTGCTGCTACTGATATATTTTTTGTTCCAATAGTGGATTTAAATTCACACAAAAATTGAGTTAATGCTATATTCAGTGACTGTTGAGTTGTTTTTTTGCACTTTTTATTTTATTTTATTTTATTTTGTATGGTATATATTTTTTAAACCTCACCCATATGATATGTCTTGACCCTGATGTCAGTGTTTGTCATACTGTGTTGCACTGTGAAATTAAGTGTCTTTGACTGGCAAAAATATCCCAATACTAAATGGCAAATAAAAACAACTTTGTGAAACTGCGACTAATCCGCACTTTTACAACGACTAACCATGCCATATTGCTGAGGTGTGTGCGTGAGAGAGAGGAAGAGAAATCGTGCATGCATGTGTGTGCATGGGTATTTTTTTCCCCGACGAGCATGTTTTTTCTAGTCAGATGGTGTTTGTATGACCTACGGGTGCGGTAAAGTTGAGTTTTTCTTCATAAAGGATGTAGCGTAGCTCGTGTGCATGATTTATTTGAAGTCCCCAGAGGTTTGGATGTGTATCTGTGCAATAGTGCATGTTTGGTGTGACTTTCAGAGTGAAATGGTTGCCCTTTACACACCAACACACCACCTCAATTCACACGACGAGAGCAAGGGACGCTTAAATAAGAGCTAGGACACTGCCAAAGAGCAATAGCCACTGAAGTCTAAAGATGAGCAGAGGCGAACTGCTGCCTCGGAAATGAGTTTCTGCATCGAGCTGATGTGGAAGGATGCAGGTACAGCAGGGCTGTAAGGAATCATTATGATTTTTGCCAGCAAAATTTAAAAACACAGGGAATTCTTCTTTTTGTGTCCACAAATAATCTGTTTTTCTAGCTTGTATGGATTTTTAATTTGACCACGACTGTGACCTTAATCATCAGTCACTTCAGATGGGAGACAATCGGGAGTCCCGCTCTGGTTTTCCCTGCTTTTTTTATTTTTATTATTATTATTTTACACAGTCTCCTTGTTTAGAATTTGTAAAGGAAAAAAAGTTTAATCTTGTCATTGTTCGTTTTAGTGTTTTTATTTGCTTCACTGATTTTTTTCCAATTCCACTGAGATTTTGTATTTGAAAGATAGGTGTAATTATTTTTTTTCTAATACTGTAGTGGTCTGCTTTAGTGCCAGTCATGAACAACACGAGTCTGAGGAGTAAAAATAAAAAAAAGAGGTGCTTTTTAAAGTTCTGTTTGTGATAAGGAGCTTGATGTTTCTCACTAAGACTAATTTCATCAGCCTGATTTCTCTATCGAAGCAAAGGCAGGTTTCCTTTCTGTTAAAGGTGGGAACAGAAATAAAATGCATTTGAGACTATTTGCTTTATTTTGTGTAAAATTTTCTGAAAATTCAGCTGGATTGTGGACTGTTGGAAATAAATCTTGTCATGCATGCTACAAAATGGCTATTATAGTTTTAAAGTTTTGTGTCTTTTGTCAAAGGTGGGATTGGATTGTAATCTGCCTTTAAGGTCTAGACACTTTTTTTCACAGTTTTATGTATCTGGAAGTTGAATATTTTCAGTGAAAGCCTTTAACCTTGTGATGGGGTTTAATGGTACTTTGAAATGATTCATGATGCGTTTGCTCCAAATTGGTTTATCTCATTTAGACTTGTATGGGATGCCACATAAAATGGGACAACCCGGGATTTGCTCGGAATACAGCAGTCCCTCGCTACTTCGCGGTTAGTTTATCGCGCTATCGCGGTTTTTCAAAATAAGATTGGACATGACACACAATTGGCTGACTGATGGATGAGCCGCACGATCGGCAGGTAATATTTATTTAAAATAAATTATTTAGCACCTCCTGCAGCTTTGTGCAGCCCTTACTGCTGCAGGATAAACTTCCTGCTGCAGTTAAACAGCTGGTCAGATGTTCAGCGAGCAGAGTGGAGAAGTGGGCGTGGCCAAAAAACGCTTGCAGGAGGCAAAGAGCAGAGGAAGCAGGGAGCTGAAATCATGACATTCTGTGCTTTCAGAGCGTTTAGAGTTTAGAAACATTGTTTAGAATATTGCAAGAGTGTGGGAAGGCTTTAAAACACCTTTATACACACACACATACACATGTATAAATAATAAAACTACTGCTTACCACTATTCCTTTGCGGTTTTTCACTTATCGCGGATCTTCAGGGTACGGATCCCCCGCAATAAACAAGGGACTACTGTATTTTGAAATAAATGGCTTCTAACGTGCTTGGTTTCATGCAAATAAGCATTGCCATTTAAATTTTGGGTTGTGGGGGGGGGGGGGGGGGAAGTCGAGTATTCAGTGAAGGAAAGCGTATAGCTTCCATTTCATCGTTTTAGACTGAGATGAACTTATGCCGATAAATTACCAAGATTTGAACCCATATGGGGTTAACCGTTGAAAATAAGCAAATGCAGATGTCACGCCCAACTGTGTTGCGAACGACTCCACTACTACCAGGGCTTACCGGTAATTTGCAAACCGATCGATGCCGGAATGCAATTGGGGCGGGGGGAGGTCTGGGGGTCCTCCAGAAAATTTGGAATAAAGTAGATGTGATTTCCTGCATTTTGGTGTATTTTAACAGGTTGTTCAACATTTACGTTTACCTACATAAACCACTTCTGTCAAGCATCCAACACCACCTCCACTGAATTCACTGTCCTGCTCATTGTTGTCCGACTCCACATGTGAAACCTCCAGGCACCTCCTCCGGCTCTTCGTGGCGGCTGCTGTCTCGGTTGCCACTGCCTTCAGGTACTTCAGTTCTCGGTTGTCCAAGGACAATGAGAAGCCTTTGTTTTATTGAAAGTAAATTGGACCGTCTTTTCTACATTTTGATTGCTGTTATTTTGACAAATTAGTTGCCGTTGTTTTGATTCGTAATGAGAATAATACACATCAAACATTTCTCTCGTATTTTTAATAAATAATGGAAATTTTATTAATGGCCCACTTAAACTGTTGAACTGATTTGCAATTTAGCTGAACTGTTTAATTATATTTTTGAGGTTTTTTTTAACAAAATTGTGTAATAACTTTGAACTTTTAGGGGCGGAGATATTTTTTCAAGGGTAGATGTGGAAATACTTGAAAAGGCAGCTCGTGTGTGATATTAAGAAGCCAGTAAGTAGCTGTTGTGTTTAAAATTAGTGTTTATGTAATTATTTTCAGTTTACATATCCAGTTTAAGTTTTATTAGTTCAAAGCAGTCATATTTGTTCATAACTTTATTTTTGGTAATCCTGAGAGTTACCGGAACACACCATGTCAAAATAAGAGCGTTCCCTGTTCCTGTTCTGGCAGGATCCGGCTCAAATTAAGCCCATAATCAATATTTTGGCTCAATATAGCTTTTATAGCCATTTTTACATTTGCTAAAGCCAGTTGACTCTGTCTACCTTTAATCAGATTGGCTCCAAACATTAATCCGTTGTACTTGATTAGTATTTTCTGAAAGCTTCAAAATTGATTCAAAATAGTTTATCACAATTTGTGTAATCCATCAGTGCTCAGAATATATGCTGGAGATCAGTCTTGGCTACTACCACCCCAAATTTTAGTACAATATCTGCTAAATTGACTTTTAGACAATACTGTTTTTTTTTTTTTAAGGTCAGTTGTCTGTATCAACCAACTTGTTGACTGTACAATGTAATCAGTTGCAGATGTGCATTCAGTCATTACTGCAAGTTTCTTTAAAATGTATTCAGTGGTTCTTGAGATATTTTGCTAACATAGATGTGCTTACACACACACCCCCCATTACATTAATTGTATTTTATTGCAGCAGGTGATAATTAGGGATGGTTTAAAACTTTTACACAGTTTAGAGGGGTTTCATGTCCTTTAGTTGATGTTTCTTCAAAATAAAAATTATTATTTTAACGCAGAGTTCGTCATGTTCCTGAAGACAGTTTGTCAGAAGTCAAACAAACTACGTCATTCAGCGGTAAACATACCACACAGGTTCCTGTTACCTGGTACATCATGTTTTCATCTGTAACTTGGTATGGGATGTTTACCAAGAAGCTTGGGGTGGAGTTTGGGCAGCGCCTGTTCAGGAAAGTCCCTGCGTTGGGATCACTTTTCTCATCTCTACATCCCCATATGAAAACTTTACCATCACAGCAAAACACTACGAATCTGTATTTGATGTATGGATTGTGAGAAGACCTCATTAGGTTGCAGATTTTCTTCCTGCAAAGACCACACACGTGTTTTTAATCCTTGAAGTGTGTTATAAAGAACAACAAAGTCCATGCTCAATAATCCAGGTATACAATCCAACATTTTGTTGAATGATGAAGCTTTCCGGATCGAAGGCGAAACGTTTCAGCACAAAAAAAAAAAAAGAAACCGTCCAGATGACCTGACTGAAAAAATGTTATAAAGAACGTTTTGTACTTTTGATTTAAAAAAGGGAGTCGTTTCCAAAGAGAAATACTTTTTTTGCTAAAGTTTTAGACTGTCTAGTTTGAGAGCTACAAATGGAGAATTCATGCTGAAATGCAGATAATACAGTCCTATATACTTGCCTGAAACATAATGGATACTTACCTGGTACATTACTGGTTTGTACTACGTAGAGGGTAACAATTAAGTGACTTCATAATACAGCTCGGTCCCTGTAGGTACACAGTACATTACCTAGCCAGGGCTTAATTTATAAACCGATCAATACCAGAATGGGGGTGGGGGTGTCTGCCCCCCTCGAATAAAGTAGATGTGATTTCCTGCATTTTGGTGTATTTTAACGTGTTGTTGAACATGTATGCCCCCCCCCCAACTTGACGGTTCTGAGCCCAACACTGTCCCTGCTCATTGGGTGTCTGACTCCACATGTGAAACCTCCAGGGCAGGTGCCTCCTCCGTCTGGTCTCCTGCCCGCGTATGACTGCCTGGTTAGCTCGGCACTCGCCCCACCACTCTTTTACGGACACATTTTTTTTTTAACGTAGACACGGAAATGTTACTTGAAGGGGCAGCTCGTAAGTGGCTGTTGTGTTTAAAATTAGTGTTTATGTACTTATTTTCACTTTGCATATCCAATACAAGTTTTATTCAAAGCAATCGTATTTGTTCATAACTTTATTATTAGTAAGCTTGAGCATTACCAGATCCAAGGAGTTACCAGAACACACCCTGTAAAAATTAGAGAGTTCCCGGATTCTGTTCCGGCAGGATCCGGCTCAAATTCAGGTATAGCTTAAATTCCAGCTACATACCAGATAACTATCAAGTATGTATCAAGTATTTGTCAGATAGGTACTAAATAAGTACCAGGTACATGCCAGCTAAGTACATTCTATATGCTAGGTAAGTAGTACCATCTATGTATCATGTATATGCCAATACTGTGTGCATGCCAGGTACCAGATATGTTCCAAGTATGTAACTGAGTAAGTATTAGGTACCAGATAAGTCCTTGGTACTTACCTAGTGCATTTCTGGTTCATACCAAGTACGTACCCTGTAAGTACAGGGTAGTAACAAGTAATTTCATAATACAGCCACAGCCTGAGTACTAAGTACATACAAAGTACATTATTATTATTAACCTTTATTTAACCAGGCGAATCCCATTGAGATCACGGATCTCTTTCGCAAGGGACGCCAGGACATGAAGGCAGCCTAACATGCATGTTTTTGGGCTGTGGGAGGAAACCGGAGTTTTCCCACACAAACATGAGGAACGTCGCACACAAAGACGCCAGGTGCAAATCAGGGATTGAACCTAGGACCTTCTTGCTGCGAGGCAAAAGTGCTAACCGCCAATCCATTATGCTGCCCAAGTATTTGCACTGTAAATATTTGTGCACATGTTCCAGGTACATACCAATTTATGGTACGTACTCTGTAGCTACAAATGTGGAGGACCAGTGACAGGGGGCTTCAGAACAAGGGGCACCCCCCACTTAAAATACGGGATCCTCTTCTGTTAAATGTTTTGTAATTAAAACTCTGTATTTCAGTATTCAAGTTAGGCTGCGGAGTTATAGGCACAGTGAAAATTAATGTTTTGGCTGAGGGGGTCACGGTGAGGGGGAACTGAGTTGGGGTGTAGTTGGTCCAAACAAGCACTAGGAGCAGCCCTGGTCCTAAGTATCTGTGTTGGAAATGTATACAGCTCAGTAGAACACCTGCAGTCATTAGTGTGAAGCACGTCAGACTTATCTGTGCCTATTGTTTGTATTTTCAGAGAAACGGAAAGTAAAAAGATTATTTGCAACCAAATACACGCCTCGACGTCTTCATTGTTGGAGTGTGCAACACAATACAAAGTACATATTGGGTACAAGCTGGGGTAAATACATTTCATAATACAGCCTGGTCCTATACGTAACCCTAAGTTCCAAGTACATATCCTGTATGTTCTGTAAGTACCAAGTATTGCTTGTTAAATTTGACACTTTATTCCATAGTACTTGGCGTAGTTTCAGTAAGTTTTTGTTGCTGTCAGCCTGTTAGCTGCTACTGGGGATGATGCAGGAGTGAAAACTGGTCATGTGTGAGTAAATAAAAATACAAACAACACACACTTAGGAATACGTCACGTTAAATTTGTTATCAGTTTTCGGATGCATCAACTTGCATTTGACTAAAATAAAAATGTAATTTACGTTAATATAAAGTTATAATCAACCCCACTGCTTTAAAGCAACAAAAGTCATTTTTCATGTCCCCTGTCCATCTTTAAACACCCCAAAGAGAATCCACTCTGGAACATATTAGTGGTGCAAAGATCATCAGTCACGTTTTATTTTATAACCTAGATTCTGCATTTACATTTAAAGTGACACAGTATCTAATTTGAAAAAAAAAAAAAAAAAAGTGAATACGCTGATGATTATCTTCGGGTTTTCTTCAAAATAAAGAACAGAAAAATAAAATTATGTCAATAATGAACACGTCAAACGACATTGGACATGGGAGAGCACATAGCTAACAGAGATGTAGCTACTCGCCACACCGACGTACATTTTTAAGTTTTTCACATTAATGACTTGCCACTGATTGAAGCTGGACTGTGCAGAAACTAAGACGCTGCAAAATATAAAAAAAACAAACTTATTTCATAGACATTAAACGGCTGCAGTATGAACCTTTGACCCGCAGCGTGTTCGCTGAGGTCGATTAGCTGTGACGTCCACTTTGAATCGTGTTGACTCAAAAGGGTGAGGGTTTGTAGATGTGCACCCAAAGATTACTTTCTGAGGATTTCATTAAAATCTGTCCAGTAGTTCATGAGATGTTTTGCAGATAGTCACACACACACACATACACAGGCAGTTCCATTATCTCCTGCCTTTCATAGCAGCAGGTGAAAATTCTCCACTTGTGGTAGCATTTTCAACAGATTTAAACATTATTAACAGTACGTCAGCAGCTTTTGGATCGAAGGTTTTTGAAATACAGTAATATATATCTATAATATATGTCATACAGGTTTTTATTCCAGTTCCACAACTAAATATTGGTGATGCTGACACTTGCTTCTCTTGTTTGGATAATCCTTTGTGTCAGTTACAAAGGAGTAACCATCGTTCCTGAAGGATCTTCATGCGCTGAAATGGTCCACCACCTGCTGCGCAGAGTCACAGAGCGGTCAAACAAAGAGGGGACGATGAGCTTTGTTGTCCTTTCAGAGCGTTCCGAGAATTCCTGTCCAGTCCAGCTCATTAACCTGAAAACAATCAGGCACTTCCTGCATGGAAATGTTGAACGCTAAATTATTATTATTTTTTGGTATCGTTTTATCAAATGATTGACATCTGCACGGAACATATCCTCATCCAGATGCTGTGAAGATGACACGAAGAGGACACGGTTTGATGTATTTGACAATCGTTTCACACTAAAGCTCATTTTACACTCCGCTCTTTACTGTCCGTGTCTCCTCAAGACCAAGCAGGGAAGACTCATTATTTTAATGACGTTCTTCAGCCTCTTCTGTGTTTTCATCTTCTTGGGTCAGAAGTTGCTGAAGACCTCTTGTTTCCTGCACCAGTCCATAGGGGGCGCTCTTTTCTTGTTGCGGTTGCCGATGATCTTTTGTTTGGCCTCGGCGGCGGTGGGACTCAGGCGAAGGCCACTTTCCACGAAAGGGTCTGAAATACGTCGGTCATCGTCATCGGGAATCTACAATACGCACAAACACACGGGATTAATATGTTTTATTTTTCTGTAATTTGTTTTTGCAATCTAAAATTCAGCTCATTTAGGGGAAGGGTGCTATGACTTGTTTTATGAAAATTTTATATAAATAAAAGTTGTTCTCATAGAAACAAAAAAGAAAAATAATTTAAAAACATTTTTGGTCTAGTTTTTATGCTGCTTTATGATTTTTTTAAACTAAGTTTAGCCTTTAGCTACCTTAAAAAATGTTTAACTTTGTGCAACTTTATTTAGCTACTAGCCTTTTGTTACATTTGCCTAATTTTTTGCTACTTTTAGCTTTTAGTTAGATATTTTCCAAGTCGTTATTGTAAATGAGAACTGGTTCTTGACCTACTCTGTAAAAACATGGTTAATTTTGTTATTGTTGTTTTTTTTTTATAGCTTTTTTTGCTACTAGCCTTTTGCTACGTTGGCTTACAGGTAACCCTTTGTTACTTTTAGCTATCTTTTTTGCTGCTTTTAACTTTTACTAATTTAACTAACCTTTTTAGTTTTTAGCAAACGTTCTGTTACTTTGAGCTTTTACTTTTTTTTTTTTTCCAGCTGCTCCCTTCCCGGGGTCGCCACAGTGAACTAAGTCGCACTAAGTTTTTTTTTTACTAATTTTAGTTAATGTTTTGCAACTTTTAGTATTAGCTAGCAACACGTTGATACCATTAGTTAGCCTCTTGCAACATTTAACTTTTAGCTAGAGTTTTGCTAATTTAACAGTTTGCTGTTTTAGCTTTTAGCTAAAACTGTTCTACCATTACTTTGAGCTTTTACGGTAGTCGTTTTTTTTTCTTTTCCTACTTTTGGCTAATGTTTTGCAACCATTGGAATTTTAGTTAGCCGTTTGCCATTTTTAGCATCACTGTGGCTCAGCTGGCAGAGCTGCCTCTCAGCGAGAAGGTTGCCGGTTCAAATCCTGGCCCGGGATCTTTCTGGGTGGAGTTTGCATGATCTCTCGATGCATGCGTGGGTTTTCTTCGGGTACTCCGGTTTCCTCCAACAGACTAAAAACATGCATGTTAGACTGATTGGTAACTCTAAATTGTCCCTAGGTGTGAGTGAGAGTGAATGGTTGTTTGTCTCATTTTGTCTCTGTGTCCCTGTGGTGGACTGGAGACTGTCCAGGGTGTCCCCCACCTCTTGGACAGTGACTGCTTAATATGGGCAACAGTGACCCCCGTGACCCAAAAAGAAAGAAGCAGGTAAAGATCATGGATGGAGGACCTTTATCTAGCCTCTTGCTAATTTTAATTCTTAGCATCTCACACTGAGTTCCTGTAGCTTCCTCACCTGGATGCTCATATCTGAGCTGCTGATCTCTGAGTGGGTGGTGGAGCTTCTGGAGGACTGGGACGCTGTGCTCCCATTGGCCCTGGACTTTGGAGACAGGTTTGTGATGGCGGCGTCTGTCATAGAAACGTTTATGATTGGTGCGTCTGTAGCAGGAAGTCCGATGGTTGGTGAGGGGGTGGGGCGGGTGCTTTCGGCTGGTCTTACATCCACATAGACCTCTGTGAGAAAAGAAACAGACAAAGTTAAGTGTCGCCTCTGGAGCGTGTAGATTTGTGTGTCGGAGCAGACATGCTCTCTGACCTTTGATATGTGCACTGGTTGGTGCAATTCCCAGTCTGTGGAAGAGCTCGTCTGTCTCCTGGTCCACCAGTAGAAGGCGGACTTCATCCCGTTCAGATTTGATGAGCGCCACCACCTCTGAGTGCCTCAAACCCCTCGTGCTCACTTCATTGACCTGCAAAGAGTAAAGGGAAACAAAAAAAAAGAGTATTGTAAGAGGCAGGGGAGGTGCTGCACAGTTCATATGGCTGAAATAAATGCAGATACTGTTTGTGATACGAGAGGAAATTGATTTGCATGAAGTCTCTTCCTGCTGCAGCACTCTCCTTCATCACCACATTAACATTAACATTAACTGAGCGCCCATCACGCAGATAAAAATGGAAACCAGCTTGTGGAATGTATCTGCAACATGGTGACACGCAAGCAGGCGTGCCTGTTTGCTCTGAAAACACAGCTCTTTTCCTCTACAACACTATGTGTGTGAACGCTTACGAGGCATTCACACTATTGTGATCCATTTTTGTCCCGTATATTTTTAGGCATGATTCTCATCCTGCTCTTTTCAAGCTATTTCAACATATCATAAATCAAAATGTTCAGCTTTTTCAGGACAATCCTGCTATGACTTTTGGTATTGGTGCAACTTTAGCTTTTTGAAATATTTAGCCTTTTCTGCCACTTTTTTTTTTTTTTCACAGAAAAGGAATTCAGCTCATTTTACATCCTTCAAATCTTTAGATCTGTTTACATTTTCAGCTAATTTCAGCTGGGTTTTTTCAGCTGTTTAGTGCTCCTTTCAGCTTCTTTCTTCTAACTACAACATTTTTGTGCTTCTTCTAAGTTCTTTCTGCTAATTTCAGATTGTTAAGCTCCTTTCAACTTATTACCGTAAGTTTCAGCTTTTTCCGTTATTTCAGCTACCATGTAGCGGTTTTTATGCTAATTTAGCCTTGTTCAGCTAATTCCACATTTTTTTGTACTAATTTCACAATTTTTCTGCCTAATTCAGCTGAAATGTGCTCTCCACTTCCTTCTTGTAATTTCGGTTTCTTTCAGCTTTTATAGCTATTTTTCAGCATTATATTTGCTAATTTCAGCTTTTTTTTTTAGATAATTTCTACTTTTTTGGGCCCATTTCTGCTTCTTTCAGCAAACATGTTTTTTCTGCTTCGTTCTGCTAATTGAAGCTTGTTAGCATTTTTAGCTAATTTCAGGTGTTTTCAGATTAATTCAAGATTTCCTGGTAATTTCTGCTACTTTCAGCCAAATTAACTTATTTATGCTAATTTCAGCTTGTTATGCTCCTTTCAGCTTTTTTTCTGCTGGTTTCAACTTTTTCCTTCTATTTCAGCTACTATTTAGCTGTTTTTGTGCTAAATGTAACTTTTTCAGTTAATTCCACATGTTTTAACTCATTTCAGCCCCTTCCACTTCCTTCAGGTAGCTTAAGCTCTTTCTGCCTTTTCAGCTGCTTTCAGCTATTTTTCCCCTAATTTCAGCTTTTTTAAGCTAATTTCCTAATTTGTAGGCTAATTTTTGCTTATTTAAACCTAGTTTAGCAAATATGTGTTATTTCTGCTTTCTTCTGCTAACTTAGGCTTGTTCTTCTATTTCAGCTCCATTTCAGCATTTTTTTTAGCTATTTCAGATGTTTTTTTTTAGCTAATTTCAGCTGTTTTTCAGCAAATTCTTCAGCAACAAGCATTCACACTGCATTTTCGCAGGAAATGCAATTTTTCTAGTTCTTCTTCTTTCCTGACATCTTGTGAATCAAACCTGATTCTGCTTTTACACATTAAACCAGTTGGACAAACTGGCTCGTTCCTCATTAATCCTCATAACCTGCTCTTCTGAGTTAAAGAAGAAGAAGCTCTGATGATTTTCAACAATCATTCCGATGGGAGTGCGTTTTAGCTGTACCTCCACTATCCTGTCTTCGGGTCGGACGCCTGCCCTCTCGGCCGGCGAGTTGGGGTCCACGGAGCGCACAAACTGCCCACCCCTTTTCTTGTCGCTCTGCAGGTTGAAGCCGTAGCCGTGCTCCTCCTTCAGCAGGTGACACAGACGAGGAAGGAGCGTGTCCGTCGGTTCAGGTGAAGGCTCCACTCGCAGCTGGAAATGGAAACGAGACGACGGCAAAGATGAGACATGACCACCAAATCTGAACCAGAGTTTATGATTGACAGACGGCGACTTTATTATTTAATGTTTGTTATGTTGTACTGTAGCCCGATCCTGTCTGCATCATGGAGGAAACCTAAATATGGCCTGAAAAGTAACAAATTCAGAACAAAGAAGCAGAAAGATAAGAGAACTGCTTTCACAGACACAGATTTTCTTACAGGGCTCTTGTGTTGGGTTGCGTAGACCGGGGTTGGGCAATAATTCAATATGACGTATCGGTCTTCACTTCAATTGTTTCTTCACAATATCACTGGATCAAATATTCAGCCACAACAAAATTCTGTTGTTCTAATTGTGTTTTCAAAGTTCCTCTGACTTGAAACAAACATTTTTCATTACTAAAATTCAGTAATTTCATGTAATGTAATAATGTCATAATTTACTCATGATTTTATGTGAAGGCTGATTATTGTTTTTCTGGTTAATTATTATTATTATTATTATTATTATTATTATTATTGTTATTATTATTATTATTATTATTGCAGTTATCTTCTGCATGAATACTTTGTGTTATTTTGGGTCATTCATATATGAAAACATTCATCTTATTTGAGAGATGGATCCACTTGTTTGTTTTTTTATTAATAACTTTTGTACTTTTCAAAATATTTACCGGTACTTTACAAATATTTCCCCCACAAAAATACATTAAAATCACTTCAATTCCTTAAAAAACTTGCTCCCTATAAAATCTACATCAGCACATTTGCACTTTGTTTGTCTTGTGCTACCTACAAACCTTTAGCTTATGTTTTGCAACACTTCGCTTTTAGCTACAATTCTGCTTCTTGTAGCATTTAGCTATTGCTCTGTTCTTTTTAGCTAGTGTTTAGCTGATTTTAACTTTAGCAACTGTTTTGTTACCCACTGTCTTGCTAATTTTAGCCTCTGCTGATCTAATTTTAGCATCATTTAGTTAAATCTAGCATTTGTTTTACAACGCTTAGCTTTAGCATCTGTTTGCTAATTTTAGCACCAGAATCCATTTAGCTGCTTTAGCTATTGTTCAGTCTGGAACTTATCTAGTGTTTTCTATTATTAACTAATCTTTAGTTACTTTCAGCTAAAATTTTGCTACATATTTATTTATTTGACATTTTTTTACTTTCAGGCTTTGCTAGTGTTCTGCTAGCCTTTCACTACATTTAGCTTTTTGTTAGCCTTTTGTTACTTTTAGTTTTTATTTTTAATTAATTCCCTTTATTTACCAGATCTCTTTTCCACTGGTGACCTGTCCAAGAGGTGAGCAGCACACATCGCCAAAGAGCATATGCTAACATTTTGCTACTTTTACCTACAAGTTCAAAAACCGTTCAATACAAAAACAACTGGACTTTATTTGTAACAGAAGACGTTTCGCTCCTCATCCGAGGAGCTCTCTCAATTCAAAGAGCAGAGAGTGAGAGATACAGGTTATAAGGCTGAGTGAAATAAGACACACACACACACACATATGTAGATTGGCAGTTCACACCTAAACACCTAAACAGTAGGTCTTTGTTCCTCTAATTCACTGACGAGGCCCCTCTGTTCCCATCAGGTGTGAAAACCGGCTGGGAATCTGTCTTAAAGTTGCATTATATGTTTTTGAAAGTGGGAATCTGAGACCTCCTCCTCTGTTAAGAGACGACTTTTCTCTTTTTACATAAATTGCTTCCTTCACCCCCCCCCACCCCCTCTCTCAAACCATTGGTGTTCTTGGTCCAAAATGTGCACATTTTGGTCCTCAAAAGAGTGTCCCTTATCTGTGAGGTGGAGGTGAACTGCGGAATTTTGTCCAGAGGAGGTGGCTCTCCTGTGTTGAGTCATGCGTCTGTGAAGAGGCTGTTTAGTTTCTCCATTGTCCAGACCTCTACATTGGAGAATCTAAACAGCCTCTTCACAGACGCATGACTCAACACAGGAGAGCCACCTCCTCTGGACAAAATTCCGCAGTTCACCTCCACCTCACAGATAAGGGACACTCTTTTGAGGACCAAAATGTGCACATTTTGGACCGAGAACACAGATGGTTTGAGAGGGGGGGTGAAGGAAGCAATTTATGTAAAAAGAGAAAAGCCGTCTCTTAACAGAGGAGGAGGCCTCAGATTTCCACTTTCAAAAACATATAATGCAACTTTAAAACAGATTCCCAGCCGGTTTTCACACCTGATGGGAACAGAGGGGTCTCGTCAGTGAATTAGAGGAACAACGACCTACTGTTTAGGTGTTTAGGTGTGAACTGCCAATCTACATATGTGTGTGTGTGTGTCTTATCTCACTCAGCCTTATAACCTGAACCCCTCACTCTCTGCTCTTTGAATTGAGAGAGCTCCTCGGATGAGGAGCGAAACGTCTTCTGTTACAAATAAAGTCCAGTTGTTTTTGTATTGAACGCTTTTTGAATTCATCATGTCCTGGATGACTGAAAATCTTCACCAGCATTTTACCTACAAGCCAATCTTTTGCTACTTTTTGCATTTTGCTACTTTTAGCTAATGCTCAGCTTCTTTTAATTTTAGCAATACTCAACATTCACAAAACCTATTTTCTTTAGTTTATTTTTTTTTTAACTACATTTGCTGTTCTTTAGCTGTGTGTGCTAGCATCACTGGACTTTGGCTCACAGAGATCAGCTCGGTAAGTGGATTTGTTTGAGACATCATGTCTGATCCAGGACTTTGTGCACAGCAACAAGTTGACACGTTGCACGACTCGTTCACCCGCCCAGACCTTGATTTCTCCAAGCAGGGCTGTGTGTGAGAACGTCACGTATCGGAGCAAAGCGTTAGGCCTCTTCCTGCAGGCCCAGCTGTTTATTGACACAGCTGGAAATTTAAACTGATCTGAGGTCTGCCTGACAGATGTCTCTGTTCATTTAACATGTATCCAGTCTGAACACTGGATTATGAGCTGCAGTCACAAAAAATACATAAATACGTAACTGACCACTGATAAACTAGCTGGTTTATGTGATGTGTTTATTAACTTGTGTGTAAAGCTGGTCCAAATAAACTGACACGTTGATGCTGATCTGTAATCAGATCGTAGGTTTTTCTTTTTACAAAACGAAACATGTCCAAATGTTGTTACTGTACTATTCTTTTAGTTGTTAAAATAATATAAATAATTTATGCCAGTATATTAATATTTTTAAGTTATTTTATTTTATGCATGCCGTCATGGATTATATATTTTTTTTATTCTGTTCTTGTTTAGTTTATTGTGGCTTTAAGGCAATAATTAGATTTTCTGAAGGATGTTCTGTGGAAAACCTATGAACAATAAATATCTTACCTGCTGTAGATAGTTTTCAACAGGCCCAGTTTGGAAACATATGAGTATATTTCTGGCCAAAATTGAGTGAATTGCTGCCATTTTAAAACAACTTTTAACTCAAAAATGTTGATGTGAACACTATTTTATAAACTTTTACATTGTAGATAACGTCTCATTATATTTTAAAGCACACTTAGCAGCAGCAGCTAGCTGTAGCACTTCCTGCTGGAATATAATGACAGTAATGGAAAAGTTATTTTTTTCTTTTTGCTCAGATTTTAATCATTCTGTGTTACGATTGTAAATGGTTCTGTTTAAGTTCTAGTTTAAGTTTGTTCCTCAGGTGTTCTTGCTGCTTTCCTGCACACCTGTTTTTGTTTTCTAATGTTCATACCTGCATCCTGTCAGTCGTCTCGTTCAGCATAGACAGAACCTGTTTCGTCTTTTTTTCAGATCTTTATCATTTGTTGCTACATGATTTCTTTGTGACTGGGCCTGCCTTTTTACCCTTTATGTATCCCTAAATATAAATTGTAAATTTTATAAATAAATTATCTGAATATAATTGTTTAGATGTGTAAGTGTTTCATTTGTTCAACTGTTTCTATCCTTTTTTCCCCTAAGGGTGAAAAAGTAATATTTAGCACAGTTTGTCAGCTTGTTAGCAGAATAAATCAAATGTTATTAGTTTTCAATTATTGGATTTGTATTAAGTTTTTATTATAATGGTGCAACACTAAAATAAGTGTTGGCATTTTTTTAAATGATATGTATATATATATATATATATATATATATTGTAACAAAAGTAGTGTTTTTAATGTAATTATTTTTTCCCGAGTTTCCTTTGTGCCTTTGGGTATGATAATTATATTTCAGTTTCTATAAAGCAGGGCTATTAAACTAGAGGTCCAGGGGCCAAATCAGGCCCATGGGGGAGCTCAGTTCGGCCCACCAATGGGTTAGATGGGTAATAAAATAACCCATTTTATCACTCGGTTCTTTAGAAATTATAACATTATAAGATATAACCATTAACGCAATATTTAGAAATCATTGTGTTATTGTACAACATTCCCAGCCTATATGGACTAATGAACCAAATGTGCAGGGGAAGCATCTACGTTAAATAGTTTTTTTCACACTTGTTTAAATGATGCTGTTGGATTGTCTGAGGATGATTTTATGTCTTTAAATTTCAGTTTTTTTTTTTGTATTTTCATGTCACAGTTTTCAGCTAAGTCTTGACAAATTACCCGAGGTGGCCATTTTCTTTTTGTTCATGCTGTGCACGATCCTCCACACCTAACCTTTGGTCACAGAAAAATGATCTCCGAGGCTCACGGTAGATTTATTACTTCGTAATTGTTTTTGCTTTGCACTCCTGAAACTCTCCCAATTTAAATTCACATACCCATCACCAAAGATTCAAAATATAAATGAAGACGTCGCTGATCTGATCATGTGACCTGGACTCATTCAGTGAGAGGAATGAATATTTGTTTGTGTGTTACAGAGGGGTGTGTGGTTACATTACTTTGCGGTACATGGGCGCCTGCTGCCATCATAACATTACACAACAATGTTGTTTTGTCTGTATTTACATGTTCAGTGGGGCGTGGTGAATGTTACGGTGTGGTAGAGACGGGATGTGTGTGAGAAAGTGT